GTAACTAAATATATATCTGCATTAGTTACATGTAATATGTTTTCATAAGAGGTCATTAGAACCCCACCCCAAAATATAATGGTTTGACCAGGACAATGGCGGGGTGCAACTTTTAAAGTTTGTTTTGCTGCAAACTAAGAATGTCAGGTTTTCAGAAGTCCGACGCACAGAAAACAAGAAAAGAGAAAAAGGGAAGATGAAACCAAAGGGGTGAGGGATTTTAGGAGTAAATATTGAAAATAAACACTGGGCTAGTCAGGAACAGGTACAGGGACGGAGTTGCAGAAGAATGATGCCCATTCAAAAGCAGGTAAGAAGCAATGTGTTTATTAATATGCTAAACGCATTGCAGTAGTAGCCATTCAAAATTTCCACACTTTCCTTGATGGGCCCCTGGCAGCTCCTTAGCTTTTCCCCCAAAATTCCTTTTTAAACATCAATCTTTGTACTAAAATATTCTGTCATGATTTGTGGAAATTAAGATCTAAAGAGAAGCTCATCTCCTGGTCCGGAGTGTCATCTAGTCAGTTTTGCTGGGGCCCCGGACAACAGTCCCAGGCCGTAGCAAAGCTGTAAGATGGCCTGAACTGGAGTATAGAGACTCTAAAACATGCCTTCCTGCATTCTTAGGCCTGATTCATACTCAGAGACCAGGTCGTCTGTGTGTGTCGTAGTGAACGCAAATGCGCCTCCATCCCTTCCACAGACACTCTGGTACAACTCTCCAAAATATTAGGTGACCGCAGACAGTGCCGCAGACAGGAGGCATCTGATTGGTCAAATTGACATCCTACACTATGCATATTTCCTTTTTGGTACCTTACCAACTTCTTTTGTTTGCACCACCGCCATTGTGAAAAATGACTCGTGAAGATGGACCTACTAGAAGAAGGAACCTTTTTTCCACCTGGATCCCGCTCTTTTTCGCCCTCATGTCCCTTCGTTGTCGCACAAACTTGCCCCGATTTCTTCAACGCCTCGGCCGTATCTAGACCCACAGCTAGTTCGTGATTGTCCCTCTTGTGTTGTGGAATAACATAGCGCAGACCACGATTCAATATGGTGCATTAATTAAAAATGTCTGCGACGAGCTGACTGCAACAAACTGCTGCGGGAGTATAACCAGCCCTTTATCCTGAGCTGTAATTATAACAGTGAAAAAAGATACACGGGTATTTTGCATTAAAAAGCTTTTTCGTCACTCAATATGCTCTATCCAGAACTCAAGTGGAAAACTTTTAGTTTCACCTGGTTTGATTACTGCACAAAAACCTTCTTTAAGGAACCATTGGCTATTAGATTAGCATTCGAAAAAATATCAAGAATAAAGGTTTAACAAAATGATCATTAGCTGCAGCCCCAGTTATATTCACGATTTAACGTATGCCAGTAGCTTGTTTTTTTTTGGCCATTTCTTATTTTTATTTATAGCTGTTAGTTACAAATTTTTCATCCTGATATTTCGGACTAGCTCTGCCTCAGGGATACGCGTTTATGATTACTTTATGAGAATAAAAGACATTTTAAGAACATTAAAAATATTGATCATGTTGTGCCCACAGGAAATTGTTTTATTTCATAGAATATATCTAAACACGGTTCAAAATAATAAACAGGTCTGAAACAATTAATCGGATTATTTGTAATTAATGGACTATTGAAAATTGTCAACTAATTTAGTAATTGATTAAACGTTAACTGGAGTATAGAGACTCAAAAACATGTCTTTATTTGATGGAGCAACCCACTTAAAGCAACAATTATAACAAGATAGTGAAAAATATATAAACGTTTTGCATTTAAGATAAAAAAAAATGTTTTACTGTTGTCGATATTCTCTATCTAGAACTTCTCAAGTGGAGAAGTTTTAGTTTAACCTGGTTTACGTTCATAAAAAAAATATCCTTTAAGGAATCTTTGGCTATTCTTTATCGGAAGAAAATATCGACAGATTAATCGATTTGCAAAATAATCGTTAGCTGCAGCCCTAATAAAAACAAAAACAATTATGTAATGTAACTGCGATACGAGAAAGATTGGGAAACAACAATCATCTCTTCATTTGTTGACAGTACAGCCCCAATGTAAGAGGGATTATGATCGGCCTCCAATATGTTAATCCAATAAGGATCCAAATTTTCAGATCAGGCCAACCTTCACAAACAGGGTCCTTAAATGAGGCTGGTTTATACCTAAAGGGATTTAATTAATCCAGGTTAATATTTCCCAGGGTCCATCTTAAGTATGGCTAGATAAGGACAGTCTTAGACTGGACCACAGACTGTAAACAGAGCTGAAGTGCGAGTTTAAAGGATAGGAAACAGAAGGTGGAGAACTGTGCACTCTCTGTGCTGACATAATCCCTCGCAGTTCAGCTGAAGCATGGACTGAACTTCTCACTCTCACCCTGCAAGTGTTACTGCTTCACAATGCACTGCAGCGAGATGATTACGCCACACAGGGCCCACCTCCAGGCTTTGTTTGGTTCGATATGCTCGCAGCCCGAGTTGAAGTCCTCTCACGTTACAGCGCGTATGCAGGTCCGCCTACGACTTAGCAACACCTGGGAAAAACACTGACTTCACCAAGCAGGTGGCTTCTGTCGTATTATAATATTGGAGGCATTTCCTTTAAAAAACATCTAACATTTTGAAGTGCAGGGAGATTTTGACTTTGCACCTCAGTGGGATGAACCAATCAGTGATACAGAAACGTAGAGATAAGATGAGAAACAAACAGCCAGTCGATGTTATGATTAGCGTACAATGTCAAACTACAGCATGTTGATTTTTTTTTATAAAAAACTGATCTTAAAGCCAAAGTGTCCCACATCAGATCCCAGATATTTAGTTAACAACTTAGCAATAAGAGCTTATCGTTTAAATATATCTGATTAGCTGCTTAAAGTCTAAATGGAGATCCACCATATTATAAAGTAAATTAAACCATGTAGAGATTGGATGATCCCTTTGATTGGCTGTCTTGTCAAAATGAAAATTTGAGCATTTTAATTTAATAACTGGATTAACCCAAAGTATTCACATTGATGTATGTGTAAATGCTAAAAGATCTAAAGGCTTTAATGCAGAAATTTATATGGTAAATTTCTTCTTTTATTAAATTAAAATTCAACTTTATGAAAAATAAAACTCAGCACATTGTTCCCATATGTGTTACAAGAACACAAAATATAACAGCTCAAAATAAAAGTCTGTATGTTGGACATCAAAGAAATTAATCAATGCAGTTTTTTTAAGGTTATAAAGTAATAAAGATTTTGACGTCAGTTTAACCGGTATGTGCTGACCATCCCTTTTCCGTTGATTCTCCACTCGGTGTTCCTTTTTTTCCCCCCGTTTAAAGGACACGATGATACCAAATATTAAGCAAGTCGCAGTTTAAACAAAAAATCTAAAAAAGAAAAACTTACCAATGAAGTAAAGCAATCATTAATAACTGAGAGCAAATATGTGGCCTTGTGTGATCTGTGAACGCATTGACATATTGGCTGATAGAAACCAAAAACACTAACATCAGTAAGTCGACCTATAAGTTTATCTTATAGTATAGGACTGAGCTATGCACTCATAATATATCTTCTTTACCTACTTTTATCAATATTTCATTGAAAGTTTATGTCAGCACTGGAAATGATAAAGTCACACTTGCTGGTGTTATTAGTGAGATAACTTTCATTTTATTTTGAAGCAAGAAAAACAAGAGGGCAAGCATCAGAAATGCACCTACCATGGCTGGCTTTAAACAAAATACAATATGTTTCCCTTTAAGGACTTTAGGAGTAGCTCTAATGAAAGTGAAGTTACCCATTGATAGATCTTAGGTTTTTCCCTAACCTATAGGTAGTAAAAATTCCCAATCTGCAGATTTTCATCTTGAAATCACCAGTTCAGTCTAAATTGACTAAAAGCTTATTGTTAGACTTTACATTTTTAATACATTTACAAAGGATTTTCAGCTTTTCTTTAGACTTTACTTTCTTCCAAGTTTCTTTGAGCAACTTTAACAAAATTCTAAGAGATTTTACCCCAAGACACACATTTTGAAATTTTAACTTTTCAACCATTCCTTTTATTTTATTCATTATTTTAAAGCAGTCATCATGGAACATCAATTTATACCCAAGCTGAAGAGAAAAATGGCATGATCATGCAGTAAATGATCGTAAAAATCCAGTATGGATTAAAGAAAACTTATTTTAAAATCCTTTGCAGAGTGGCTGACTTTTTAACAAAATACAATCAGTTTCCCTTTAAGGATTTTAGGAGTAGCTCTAATCAAAGTGAAGTTACCCATTGAAGGATCTTAGCATTTTCCCCAACCTATAAGCAATAAACATTCCCAATCTGCAGATTTTCATCTCCTAATCACAATTTAGATTTAATTACAGTCAAAATTGACTAAAAGCTTATTGTTAGACTAAGACCTTTAATACATTTATGAAGGATTTTCAGCTTTTCTTTAGACTTTACTTTCTTCCAAGTTTCTTTAAACAACTTTAACAAAATTCTGATAGATCTTACCTCAAGACACACACTTTTGAACTTTAACTTTTAAGCTATTCCTTTTCTTTTATCCATTATTATATTGCAGTCATCATGCAGCATCAAATTATAAGTAAGCTGAGAAGAAAAATGGCATGATCATGTGGGAAATTTAAAGAAAATTAAAAAAAAAAAATTAAGAAAATGTATTTTAAAATCGCATCCTTTGGAGAGTGTGTAATGAATGTAAAGTCAGCACGTAGTTAAATGGTTTTATTGCACTTTGGCATACAGTGTAACACCTTATGTAACTCCTAGGTTGTAAATATGTTTACACCTTCTCATCCATAGGTCATAAACTCGTCAAGCTGTCTTAACTAACAACTTAATGGTGTAAATGACTATTAAAAAAGACCTAAAACGTGTCATCTGAGAGGGGAAATAAATAGTGCATATGTCAGAGCAACACTACGGAAACCCGCAGGTTTCAGAGCTCACCGTTCTGAGGTGCTTCCTGAGGATGTACATGATGAAGCCCCATATTCTTGACGTGACACTGAGGAAAGTGCGGATACCGAGTAGACACTGCCGGGTCTTCAGCATGTTGATGGGCACCCAAAGACCCCCAAACAGCAGGTCTGCTTCAAGTCTCAAAGCGATGTTAGAGAACGCCGCGGTTTGGCGACGTTGATCTGCTAAATAACACGCGACTTTTAACGTGCTGCTATAGAAAAAACGTCTAAACTCTCAGCTCCAACTAACAAGAGGCCGAACTCTTCTTCAAACTTATGGCTTTCTGTTAGTTTTAAATGCAGCACATTATGGCAGAGACAGACAGCCGTTGTTGGGAAGGAAGAGGGGAAAAAAAGCCGCCTCACGTCGCTTGCTTCTGTATGAACCACAGCGCAAACCACCGTTAGCTGATAGCCGAGAAGCTACCGCTAGCTCGACGGGGTGACCACCTTGAAACCGAGGACAAAAATAGCCCCAAAAAGCCGAGAATCCGCTTGCTGACATGCACCGGTGGGACGCGGCTTCACTCTGTTCGGCATCCGAAGAGAGTCGCTTGAGTAAAAGTTCCTCCGAAGTCCAGCCGCTGGGCTTAAAATCAGTTTGTAGTCCACTGGAAGTCCGGAATGAAGCTGCGAGCCGCCATAGCCGCCTTGCCGTCACTTCCGCAAGGAGATCTGCGCTCTGCGAGGATGAGGACGCGGGGGCGCGCATCGCGTCCACGTGGAAAGAAAACATACCGACGTGGACGAGTGAGCGCGTGGAACCACAGAAGTTGATTAGTTTGATGAAACGCAGCTTTTTTTTTTTGCTAGCTTTTAAACAGCTTATCTTTCTTGCTGGCTTTTAAACAGCTAATCTTTCTAAGAACATATCTAAACACGATGAAGGATGTTTACAATTATTTTACACAAACAGCAGTCTAACCTGTGATAATTAACTCGCTTATTCCACTGATTTAGTTAGAAAACAAATAAATAAAAGCTCGCTTCATATTCACAGATTTGTACGGAAGAGGATTAGGGCCACTGAAAAAACAAAAAAAAAGTTTAGTTATTATTCAAATTTTATTTCAGTAGAACATGAGAAAAAAAAATCCTGATTTTAATCTCAGAATTCTGACTTTTTTCTTAGAATTCTGACTTTAATCTCTGAATTTTGGAACTTAATGTAAATAATTTAAAAAAAAAGTTTACTAATTTTAAAAAAAAATTTCAGTATAATATGAGAAAAAAGTCAGAATTCTGACTTTTATCCCATATTAAACTTGAAATATTTAAAAATCCGTTAACTTTTTTTTTTTAGTGGCCCTAATCCTCTTCCATAGACGTGAACCCTTAATAAAAAAAAAAACAGGTTTTGTGGAAAAAGTATGAATTTATTTAAATTAACATCTAATTCATATTTTTCTTAATTGATCTTAGGACTTCATTGAATTTATATGCAGGTTTGTTATGATTGAAATCAGTTTTTGAATTTAAAGTTAATATTAGTTCACAAATCAAATTGAAATAATAAACACACTAGTTGTACATTCTATTTGCTGTAAATTTATCAAAAATAATTTATTCAAGTTTAATGTACATCATATTTTCAGGTTAGAGTGAAAGGAGGCTATTGATCTTGCAGTCAGAGCAAAAGCATATGTGTTTTTGAAAGGACTGGTGAAAGCCCACAACTACTGAATATAATAATTCGAGAATCGAATAAATCGTATAAAGACTTACAAGATTGATATTTTCATACAATTACACAATTAAGTTTCTTGGTGATCTAATTTATGAACAATTGACATGGAAACCTTACATTGATCACACAAAACTTAAAGCTACAGTGTGTAATTTTCAGCGACATCTAGCGGTCAGACTGCAGACTGCAGCAACATGAACGTCTCCCCCCCACCGCTTCTCCCCCCCAACAGTACGGCGAGCGTTACGGGACAAAATGTCTTCCACGACGTCCGCATCACCTACCTTCTCAAGTGATGAGGTTTGTTTACATAGATAATTTTACAGATAGTATTTCATTAGTCTGTGTAGGGTATAGATTTCATGTAGACTTAAGATAATAAATATACCCGTTATTTTTTCTACGTCGTTGTGACGTTTTGGTGAGCTGCTTTGCATGGTGATATAAACAGACGAAGTAATTGTAGTCATTAGTTTAACAGCGAGATTGTGTTCGCTGGAAGAATATATATTCCCCGTTTACAGAGTCCAAGTCTTGTTTGTGGCACGGGGGTTACAAGGCAAGGAAGAGGGAAAGGAAGAGGGCAGAGAGGCCGGGGTGAGCGTGCAGCTGGGGCCAGGCGAGAGAGGGGAGCCAGCGGGGTGAGAGCAGAGGACGAAAGGCTTGAAGATCTCCAAAGGAGCCGGAGAGAAGTAACCGAGGTATATATCCAGAAAATTATTTTACAGAAAATTACTGAATCATTACCTGTGAAACGTCAGGGACGTTGCTGAATAAGTATACTGGAGAGTAACAGCATCATCACGCAGCATGTTATTGTTTTAGACAGGTCTGAGCATCCTGTACTCCAAAAACTGCAGTGATATTAGACAATTGTGTGTATAGGATTAATTACCTGTCCAAGAGAAAACTGGCAACTTGAGCGTCACTTTGAAAACCTTTTTCCTCCATCAGTGACTTCCATCGTGTAAATGCCGTGCCAATGTTGATCCGTGTTTTTTGTCGTTTCTTGTCACTCTTGCGTTTATTCTCGTCGTGTTTCCGCTTCTTAGATGACGGGGGTTCGGTGTCCGCCGCTTTTCGTTGTGATACAGAGTAGGCATGATCCTCCATTCGTCTGATGTTTGGCCACACAGTGCCAAACAGTTTGCAAAGTCACTCACGCCTGCCGCCTTGTTTACCTTTCTTGTTACCGAGGCGCAGTATACCTGCTTCTTCTTCTTCTTTGGTTTCAGGCAGACTAAACGCTTCTCAGGCATAATACTGCCATCTACTGTTCAGTACCGTCTCAGTTCATCTCTCTCAACTTGCCGTAGTTATTTTCGAGCGTCATGGGAGATCTCGCAATCGCTAGTTTGTTGCCTCTGCGCTGCCGTAGCGCAAAGATGTCAGCCTCCATGGCTGCGAGACCCGCTCCTATGTAATTATAAATAACGAATTCTAAGGCAACGCAAATGTTATGGTTAAAAGGCTGAGCTCATAGGTGATGATAAATAACATAGTTATGTATAATATATTAAATTTCTGAATTTATATGCCTGTAATTATTACACACTGTAGCTTTAAAATAAAAAACGATTGCTCTTTTAAGCAGGATAAAGGAATTCCTAAACAAAAAAACCTTATGAATTCAGTATAAATCACTGATTGTACCACATCTGACATATTGTGTTGAAGTGTGGGGTAATGCTTATGAATCACATTTTAATCCTCTTTTGATTGCAGAAGGGAGCCAAGAGTTATAAAAGAAATATCCACTTTCACTTAAAGCGCAAATCAGATATTTATAAAGTAAAATACATTAAAACTTACTGAATTGATATTCTATGTTTTAAAGGCACATAAAATTCAACCAAACAATATAAAAACAGATTTTCTAAAAGAGAAAGTAAGGATAACTTAAAATGGAAATTTTCAAAAAATCCAGGTTCAGAACAGAGATGATGGAAAGATGTATTTCTATTAAAGCTGTTGTTTTGTGGAATAAGCTTATTAGAGAGTTAAATCGATCTGAAACTTATCCTGTGTTTAATATAAACTTGAAGGTAATTTTGATCAGTCGATTGGCTAACGTTTTCTTTGTATTGGTTAACATGGTGTGGATGTAATTATCTGAGTTGAATAAGTGATGCTTTATTGAAAATGAGGGCAGATAATGTTTTTACTACTTTCTGCTCCTTTTGATTCATGATTTCAGTTGTTTCCTTTCAGAACGACATGATCCTATACTTTTGTTTTATTTTGGATACTCCAGTCAGAGGGGAAATAACACTGATCAGCAAAATACATCAAAAACTCATAAGGTTTTATTGTTTTGAAAACCCAAACATAAAAAATGAAGTGCAAATTTAAGAAAGAGACCTATTTATTTTTATTTCATAAAGAATGAAGACATGTTGTAGAAAATTAGAAGTTGTGTGGCTTTGCATCCTACATTCTCCGTACTACATAAACGGAAACAAAGGAAACAACAGCCCAGCTGCAAAGATTTTCAGTTTCAGCAGCACAGTCCATCATGCCTGAACACTAGATATCAAGATCATCATCGGGGTCCTCCTGGTCGTAATCATCATTTGCATCAGGCTCATACAGAATTCGCCCAGAACCTGGACCTGGATGGAGCAGAGCTGTTTTCCTGCACCATTAAAAGAAAGGAATCATTTTTTTTAATTCATACATATACATTTGAAGAAGATCTGAAAAATAAAGACAAATAAACTCATCGAATAGACTAACTTCTCTTTGCTGAAGACGAAAGGAAGTGTGAGTTTCTGCTTGGCCTCTAACTCTGAATCAGACAGTCGGAGGTTAAAGGTCAAGTTAGCTGTTGGGTCCGCCTGTTGACACACAAGGAGGATCGGTTTCAGCACCTGTCATGTATGTGTTCACCTGACTCTATTTAGGATGAGTTTATCAGCACCTGCTCTTCCTCTGTGTTAGTCGGCTTCGGTTCAGGATGACAGGACGTGCTCAGAACTGTGACTGCGAGGTCCTCTGTGATGCAAAAAATCTCCTCCTGGGGGTAAAACAGAGACGGTCAGTAACTTTACAGCAGAGTATTAGCCTAATAAAGTAGACTACCTAGAAAATATCCTTACATCTTGCATAACTTTCCCTGATTTGGAGCGCTTTGTTATTCTTGCCACTGCTTCATTTCCCTTCACTCCAGGTGCCACAGAGATGAGAGAAGTTGCCAAGTGGCAGACGCTCCCCACAGTGCCCCTCTGATGCATATCTGTATGGAGCAGGCCGATAATAGCTCTCACAGCTCCCCCTGATGAAAACAGAGAATAATACATCAGTGGAAGAAGTTCTTTTGTTTTAATCACCTTAAAGCTCCAAATAGCTGAAATGGTTATTGTCAAAAAATCTAAAAATTAAAGGTATCACCTTTTCTGAGTTGCTGAAGTGTCCTGCAGACAGCAGGAGCAGTCGCATGCCTCAATATCCACGACAAAGAGTCGATGACGAGCGTAGCTGGCCTCTGCTGTGAGGTTTGTCTGATCAAGTCAGTGAGATCCTTGGAATTGAACTGTTGAACTGTGAAAGCTGGGTGAGCGGTCCATCCCAGAGGGTCCAAATAAGCATTGTGAATATGCAACCTGAAATTTAGGTGAATGAAAATTTATTTTCTAAGCCTTAAAAAGGTTTCCACTGTGTCATGCTGTAAAAACAGACTCAACAGATGATAGTTTTTAAAAATAAATATATGAGGCAAGCATTTGTTAGCTCCTGAGCACATTATAAATTACTAATGGAATCTTTTGAGAAGTATCCCTACAAGTTTTTAGTTTTGTTGGTGGTCCAACTGAATGGGGAAAATGGTTTGGGTAAACGTCTAAAGCAGAGTTTCTCAATTTCAGCCCTCAATTTCTAGTGTCTCTGCTTTCACATACCCGAGTCAAATATTTAGATCGTTAGCGTGAGTCTAGAGAACTTGATTGCTTTCCCATTAGATCATTTAGAAATTTGATTCAGGTGTTGAAGCAGCGACTCGTCTAAAAAGGTGCAGAGCATCGGAGGTCGAGGGCAGGATTTAAGGAACTCAAGTTTTCCAAAAACAGTCAGATTTGTACTGAGAAAAAGTCCCACACAGGTGGATTGTTTTTATTTTGGTGTAGCAGAGTAAAAGTGACTAAATATGAATGCACACCACACTTTTTAGATTTTAAAACAATGTATTAATTTTCTTTTGCAAATCCATTAATCTGAAGATTATTTTTTTCGATTATTTGATTAAAATTGGATAGCAAAAGGTTCCTTAGAGAAGACTTTTTAAGAAATCAAACCTGTTGAAAATTAAACTTTTCCGCTTGAGGAGTTCTGGATAGAGCATATTATATAATATATTAGTCAATCAGGACTAATCCGATTAATTGTTAGCCTTAATATACACACATTTATATATGTAGAAATATTTGACAAAGATAAAATATTTATGTATATATGTAGATACATACACACACGCACATTTCAAACAGATCGAGATATGAACGCTTTTGCAAGGCATTGAATACATTTATAAAAACTGATTTAATTTCAACCTTATTTAATTTTTACTATAATAGTAACCCTATCCTATATCATAGAGAAAAATAATATATCATAATAATCCTTTTTATGTCACAAAGCTGGGAAATCCAGGTGTTTTTAGCAGCAAGCTAGTGAGAGATTTACAGCTTAAAAAAAAAGACATAATCAAAACCAAAAAAAAATTTATGTTTTTGACCATTTATTATTAAAGAAACACAACTTGAAGCTAAATTCATATTGAGTACTGCAAACAGCAAGCCTAGAAATGAATCATATTACCAAAATCTAAACCACCTAAAGCCCCCATCACACCTTGACTTTAAATTGAAAAAAAATTCAAACAAAGTTCAGCAATTGCTAGTGTTTTAGAAGACTCAGGGACGTCAGGCATACGCTGAACTTTCTATGTATTTTTTCAAATTTGGACATATACATAGAGCATTCACAACGAGTCAAGAACTGATGTCCAACGACAGTCTAACTTATGTATAACGCACTTCAGCGTAATGCCCATGAAATGATGCACACGCCTGTGTCCTGAGGGGAGCAGCAATGTGCCCGGAGATGCTCGGCCTGCATAAAAAGGTTTTATTTGATCACGGTATTAACCTAGCTGCTGTTTACCGCCTGCCCAAAAAAAAAAAAAAAAGAAAAAGAAAGAAGGTTTACAGTCACAGCAGATTCAACGTCAAGTCTGCTAGGAAGTTTGTTGGTCGTGGCCGTGAACGCTCATCCTATGTGCGGATGAAGTTTGGAGGAGAACAGACGGTTTCTTCCTGTGATCCCCTTTTATACCAAAATGCTGCCAATACACCATTATACAGTATCTGTAAGTTAGAAAAATGTTCAGCGGTCGTCTGGAACACGTCACATACGTTGATATGCGTTGGAGAGAAGTTCTTGATAAGTTACGCATAAGTTATGCACGATCAGTTATAGGTTTTGGATAAGCTAGACGCCGCAATGAGTAACTTACACTGAACGTATGTCAACGATCAAATAATTTACCTGTAACTTATAACCCACATATATACGCTGTTATATGTCGGGTAATTTTGAGCATGCTCAAAATTTCTCAAAGTACCTGCAGTAAGTACCTGGACGTGTCCCAGCGTAGTTTACTGTGCTTCAGCGTGCACATAACTTATACAAAACCTACCCATAACTTATCCAATGTATGCCAGCGTTTTTGCCAGATTTGAGGTACTTCAGGCATACGCTGTCTAAATCACCAAGGTGTGACAGGGCTTAGACGGGCAGACGGCGGCCATACATGCAAACCCTAATTTGTTTATGTTTATTTAAAGTAACATTGAGGCATGATGACAACAGGGAGGTTTGCTGCATGCTACACCCACCCTGCCCCCTTTTACTATCACTTTATTTAAAGCTCCGATCTTTTAACATACCATCAAGACCTAATGGCAGAAACTTTCACAATTTGGTAAAAACAACCGCATTTGTTTTTGAAAAAACAAACCTGTTTTAACCATGAAAATTTATTTTTCTTAAAAAAAATATTTAAACAAATGGAATAGCGTTATATTTACCTCTGCGTGTCCAATGGTTTCAATCTATCCCTTAGCTCCTCTTCGCTCACATCAAAACAAAGGACATGTACGACCTCCTCCCTGATGACAGAAAATATGCAAAAAGAGTGTGTTTACATTTATTTTTTAAGTGCTAAGACGAATCTATCCATCGTCTAGATCTGCTTATCCTTGCAGGGTTTTTTAGGGGGTGCTGGTGCCGAGTCAATGGGGAAGAAGTGAAGTGAACACTGGATGGGTCAAGCAAAGTACCATGGGAAAGCCCACTCATTCAAGGGACTTGAAATCTGAGGCTTTTATTGATTTTAGTGAATACTACATGTAACTTCAATACTAATTTTAATTTTCAAAAGCAAGTTTTATGATGGATTTTCTTAAATGTATCCAGGATTATAATTCTACAGTCAGACTCAAAATTATAAATACACTTAAGTAATATTTAGATATATAGCAAAAAAATATATCTATTTTTTTGCTCTTAACAAGCTTTTAGCTTATGACAGATCTGACTCTTATAAGAAACAGTAGACCTCCGGGGTATTTACAGATTTATTTTATTATTTCCTAAGCCAGTTTTCATCTGGGTTTCTGTTTACTTCTCTTTTCAAATACTTAACCTTGCTAAAGTTTAACTGTCTAATAGTTGAGTTATCATGAAGCAGAAGATTTTTGAGCTAGCTCATCTTCTTCATTATTCCATCCAATCTCTGTAATGCACCAGCAGACTTACACCTAATGTCACTACCAGCACTGTCAACTTGATAGCTCCACACATACAGACTGCTTCTACAGTTATATGCCTCGCCTGAGCCTTTTTTTTTTGTCCAGATGAAGATTTAAATTCTGTTGAAAGATATTATTTAGGAGCAGAGCGCATCTTTCTCAGTAAACCTTTACAGCTCATGGCAACATTTATTTTACTTCACTCTTTAAATTAGTACTTCTCTTTTGACATCTTCCAGATGATGATCTGTTTTAGTGACGATGTGCTTCTTGGCATATTTTTTAAAATCCATTTAAGCAATTTCCTTCCTTAGAGGGGTTGACTGGGTTTCGAGACATCAGACTCCTGAACATGAGACTGATCTATACAAAGATGAACAAACTGAATTTGATATGAATACAGAAATGGACATTTAATCTCCTGAAATGGACCCAACTTGACCCCTGAAGAAAATTATTTAATCCAGACAGTTTAAATAAATGCATATCAGATGTCTTGCCAGATTTATAAGCTGCAAAAACTCTAGATCTTTGGCTTTTAACTTAGAAAAGAAAATCCCTTTATTGTCCAACAACAGGGAAATTGTGGTGTTACAGCAGCCAAATGTTATAGCAGAAGTGGTCACACAAGTTGGACCTTAGAAAAAGTCTATAAAAACAACAGAAAAACTGAGAGTTAAGAAAATAAACAAGTCATTTTATGAGATAATGCAAACATGCATGTTAAATACACATATGTTCATCAAATGTTCCTGTGAGCACAGCATTATACCTGTTTAAGGCAGCAGTGATGAAGCTCTTCAGAAGGTCTCGTCCTGAGTAATTACTGGAGTCTGTTGATGGTGGAGGTAAACATACATTTGGTCATCTTAAACCGTTGGTGTGTTATTTTTTTGCCACAACGAGAGAAGTTTTTTTTTTTTTTTTACCTTGTATTATAAGAAGCCCTCCAGTCTCAATGCCTTGCAGTAATCCAGGCAACATGGTTGACTTCAGTACATAAGTAGCCGGGGCTACTTAGCATGCTATAATAGCACGTTAAAGCAACGAACAAAAGAGAAAAAAAATTTTGAATTAACTACACGAACAGCACCTCGGATTGATACCAATGTTAAATTAAAATTAGCCGAAAAGTAGTATTTCTAATTCTAAGGCTTACTTTTATCTGCATATTTGCTTGGTTAGCGTGTTTGGGTTGTCCAAGCTAAACGTCATATTTCATGTTTCCTGCCACCTTGGGTTTATGGGTAATGAAGTTCATTAGCGGCCACTAACACTGAACAAACCTTGCAGTCCAGACTACGTTACCCAACATCAGCTTGAACCCCTTTCACTGGACAGGTCCCGCCCCCTTCATAAACAGACGACCAATCAGCTAACGCATTGTAACCTTAGTATCCAATCAGAGCTAAGCAATCTCCTCCCGCTGTGTTGTCTCGGGCGATCCTGTCTAATGTTATCCCTCCCTCTTCGATGGGTTTGCCGACGCGCGCAATAAAGCCCAAAGTCTACTCTAGTGGGTTTGTACCTCCAGAGAAGAATCGACAAACTTCAACTGAAAACGTCTCGCCATGGATTTGTATTTAGCAGTTGCGCTAATTTAAGGATTATACGTTTTCCCCTCTATAGCGATGCTTTTTTTTTTTTTTTTTTTAAACACATTTAGAATCTTGAAGCGGAGCTGAGTATGCCAGGCGAATGAGGAGTTACTATTTTTTGGACTTTAAAAAAAATAGTGGCTTGTTGGTGCTCGGTTGACGACAGCCGTTGTCTCGAGATCAAGATCGCGGGGTTACCCACAAGTTCAGCTCCGCTGTGGACCAACTTCAGAAATACTTTTTTTTTTTTTTAGTCCTTAGCGCTGTTGGCTGATTTTTCTTTTTAGTGGCAAGTTACCCGGTGATTAAGTTCAACCACGCCGGGGAAGGCTGCTGTTCTCCGGCTAGCTGAGAAGCAGCTTCTCCTTGGATCAGGGCCTCGTCGGCTAGGCGACAATGCTCGACATAATGTCTGACCACCAAGGTATGTATGTTAACGTTAGTTTAAAAGCATATGCAACAACACTTGGAGCATAGAAATCGTTGGTTTTAACGGTCAGTGGCCTTTTATTGGCTTTAAGCCCGTAAGTTGTGACTAATGCTACTGCTACGTTTTAGTTGCGCAGGCTTTATTATTAGCTTTGCTTGCTCCCGACTAATCCACTTAAAGTTGTTAAACTACTGCTGAAACGCCATATTTATAAAATATGCGCCATTTTTAATGTTCCTGCTGAAGTTTTACAATAAATTCTACGTCTACGGCTTGCTAGTTGGCTAACGCGCCGAATTATATTGCTAAAAGCTAAATACAAGCTAGCTAAAATCTCCGTCTCTAAAACTATCCGAACACGCTGTCAAACAAATAATAGTTGACATGTTTGGAGGAAAAATACATTATGTTGCATCTGACTCGAATGTCTTAACTTTTTAAAAAACGTTGATCAACCAGACACGCCCGATAAAACGTTAGCATCAACGTGCTAGCATCAAGTTAGCCCCACAACCTGCTTCTCCTTTCAACTTCCATTTCAAGATAAGCCAACATCAAGTGACCGATTAGCAGATGGTTATCGCTACCCACGTCTTTAAGGGATCAAAAGTGTCTGAAAAGTAATTCCGATTTGTCCGACACGAAGAGTAGCACCGTTGTCTGAATTGACCGGTATATCTGCAAGCTGCAAATATCTGTCGCTGTACCTGCAGTTAAAACGCAAGTGACATTTAAGCAGTATAAAGCTATTTTCTGTTGATTTATTCTGCAAACTCATATATGGTACATGAGAATGTGTAGATATGAGAAAAAGCGGTTTAAAACGCTCAGATTGTGTAAAACTGAACCCGGTTGCGGTTATTCCTCGTTGTCTTTTATGTCGCTATCGTTCGCTAGTTTTATTTCGCAACCATTCTCATCTTTTTAAAGATACCAGTGGAGTCAGAGTTTTAAATAAAGCCCGAAGTGCTTGCGCTTAATAATCCCCATTAAGTTATTGGCCTTAGTTAGCCGGCTAATGCTAACATTACTGCACTTGTCTTTCAGTGCTCCTATAGTGTAAAGAAAATGTAGCCTTTTATTTATCTATTTGCCTAGAAGGGTTCAATTTTAAATGAAATTATTTCTGTTTCGCTCCGGCAGATTCGCTTCTGACGTGTAAAACGGAACCCCTGGTGAGTCAATTTTCTGTTGTAGTCATTCATTTGTTGCTAGCATTGGGGGAAAGTTTATGCAGAGCAGATTCGGTTCTTCCTGACATCAGTCTTGCCTGTCTTTCTGTAGCCCCCAGAAAGAAAAAAGAGGACCGTGGAGGACTTCAACAAGTTCTGCAGCTTTGTTCTGGCTTATGCTGGTTATATCCCCAGTCCAAAGGAGGTGAGCTTTTTTTTTGTTTGTTTATATCTGGACTGTCACTGTTAGTGTTAGCTGTGTAGCATTTGATCAGGAGGATGTTAGCAATAGATGATGCATGAAGAATATTCACACATGAATAGGTTGATACCATTTGGTTTGTCTTTCACATCCAAAACAACCTCTCAATGTCTAATAGAAATCAAGATATAGATGATTCTGGTACAACAAATACAGTTGCCTTAAATAGACACCCATAGGCCTGGTAATAACACATTAATAGCAATATGGAGGTTTTCAGCTAGAAAAGTCTCCAAACACCATGCGTATTGGCTTCCAAATTGTGCAATTGGACAGAATTATCTTGGACTGTAAAAGCTCAACTATAAACCATTTGTAAACCAATTAGAAAATAGGAAGTCTTATATCATTATTAAACGTTTTTCCATTTGCAGTAAAGTCATAAGTAATATATGACTGAGGATGAGGCAGACAAAGCTGCCCTGGGTAAATATTTTTCTTTTTTTAAATCGCAGCATCTTAAAATCAGATTTATTGCATTGTGGTTGTGGTGCTTTTAGTTTCTTAACATGCTCTTCAAAAGGCCAAGAAGTTTTAACATTTTGAAAACTGTTTAAAATGTTCTGATGACTGAAAGTGTCGACGTTTAATAAGCCACGAATGATCCCTACGGTCTAAGTTTGGGAACTGATTTTATACTTTAATCACAAAATGTCTTCCTTTAACCTCTAGAATGACTTGGATTATGGTTTCGAATCGGAACCACGTAGCTTAAGTCCCATTTGGTTTGAAAGTCCAAACAAATGGATAAACCTTCCCAGTATTGGAGAGTCTAATGAAACCCTAGGTGTTGCATAAAATAAGTGAAACGATCGTTTGATATTAATGTCTAGATTGCTGTTTAAGTCTGAAATATCTAATGTTGTAGTGGGAAAATATAAAGAAACCCTGCTCTGTTTATGACGAGCAGAAAACTGGACAGTCCAACCTAAAATTAAGGGGTTTTAGAATAAAATAATGCCTGGATTTTTTTTTTTTTTTTTTTTTTTATAATATAAAGGTCGACCTTAACGATTAAACATAGGTTTACTGCTTCCTGTTTGTAAGATATGGAAATTTACTGGCTACGTTTGATCTGCAGGAAAGTTCCTGGTCTCCAACATCCTCCAGCTCTGCCCATAGTTCAGGACTATCAGCAGATGCAGGCGTCGGGGGCAGCAGCTCCATAAGCAACACTTGGACGGATGGGAGCTCTGACATTCACACCATCCACACATTTGTGCGCAAAGCTCGGGCAAATAAGGGCAAAAACATTCGACGCATGCACTCTGACAGCACCCTGCTGGACAAGATGCGCCTGAAAGACTCTCTGTACGACAGCCAGGCAAGCACAAAAGCTGAGCGCAAAAAAGACAAAAAACTGAAAAAGCTCTCTCTGGGCTCGACCACGGCGCCGGACAGCGGGAGCAGCGAGGGCGAGAAAAGGGCTCGCATCAAGCGAAGCAAGAACTCCTCCAAACAGCCCAAAGCCAAGAAGTTGAAGAGCTCAGCTGCTCAGAGCGAGACAGACTCCGAGACGCGGAACTCACACGCCGAGGCGCGGCCCATGAGGGAGGAGCTGGCGTCGCACGGGGGCTCCACCTCCAGCAGCCACGGCTTGGGGAAGGCAGATGAATCCATCAGGGAAGCGGAAATGAGCTCCAGCGAGGGCGAAACCTGGATCGCAGATGAAGATATCATGGTGGAGTCAGGTACGACACAATCCCCCTTTTTCTACTTTGATCCATGTATTTATATTTACATGATTAGTTCAACATTTAACGCCTTAAATCTCTTCATCCGTCGCAGGGGACGACTCATGGGACCTGATCACCTGTTACTGTGGGAAGCCGTTCGCCGGACGTCCCATGATCGAGTGCAACCAGTGCGGAATATGGGTGCACCTGTCGTGCGCAAAGATCAAAAAGTCCAATGTTCCCGACATCTTTTACTGTCAGAAATGCAGAGACTTGAGGCGGTCGGGAAGCAAAAAGGACACTTAAACTGTTGGAGGACTGTTTCTGCCGCCCTCTGACCAGCTCCCTTACTCTGATGCCTACAGCCAAAACAGCCTAAATTCTCACCGGGACGGCAACTAACTCAGCAGTTGCACAAATTATTTTGACAATCAAAAACCATATTTATCCCTTGCATTCTTTTTTATTTCTTTATGGATTCTGAAGAAGGGGAAGACTGTGACAGAATCCCTCATTGGTTGCTTATAAATTCCCCTAATTGGCTTTTTACGTTTTCCTTTTTTTTTTTTTTTTTTTTTTACCGGGTTTCTTATTGATTCATACATTTCTACCTAAAAACCATAGCCAGTCAAAGATAGACGGATAATCAATCACCTTAAAAAATAGAAGTATAACTTGTATAGCTAAAAAAGAAAATCGTCACTCCGATTATTTGCTTAAATGTTATGATGCTTGACGGGCAGCTCTTTTTATTTCAATGTATACTTACTTTAGGAGGGTTTTATTTCTATCAGCGATGGTCAGAGTTAAAGGAAAAAAAGATAAAGTTCTCGCTCCTCTCAAGCAAGAGTTGATTAATTTATTGAAATTAGCGAACTCATCTCAGATGTGTTGCACATATGTATATTTTTTAAGTGTTTTTCTTCCCAGAAGTTGAATTAAGAAAAAAATGTAAACCTAAATACATTTCCACTGTACACATGAGATAATCGAATGTCTTTGGTTGGCCTGTTAATCAAACATTACTAGCAGAGTTGCTATGAATGGCGTCTACAGAGGAAAGCTGTTGAATTTGGATGTTTTGCTTGGTTTGATTCTTTTTTTTTTTTATACATTTTCATTTTCTTGTTACTTCCTCTGTATAAGTTTGGGTTTGTTATTGCTGTAAGGTGACTGGTTACGGCTCCTTGCGTTGTCAAGGTGACCCAAGGCTTCTCTATGAATGGCTGTAAAAAAAAAAAAGATTTTTTTTTCACATAACAGTTTATTCCTCGCCTTTTTATTTTCTTCCTAGCTAGTGGGGTTAGAATCGTGCCCACTTCAGGAGAAGAGCGTCTCGCCTTGAGAACAAAGTTGTGTACAAAAGTATACCTTGAGGCTGCGTAGGTTGTGGCATATATATATATTTTTTTTACCGTGTTAAGTTGTTGGGAGAGTCTTAACAAGTCTCCACGAGTAGTTGCACTCTGTACAACTTCCGTTCTGTGTACATATCCAGTTCTTTGACTTGTAAATATGTGAAAGTGAAAAGAGAGAATACCCAAGCAAAGTCTATATTTTCTGCAGTCTGATATTGTTTCTTTAACTGTAGCTCGAGTAATAAAACAAACCAAAAAAAAAAAACTTGAGATTGTGCTGGGTTGTTTGATTATTGATAAGAAAGCACACAAGATTGAAAGTGTTTATTTTAGAAGTCAAGGCACACAACAAAACTGTTATGTTTGTCATCTACCACTAGAGGGAGCCATCTGTAAAGAATCCCTCTCAGGTGGTGAATTAAATACAAATGGTTGAATAAATATAAATGTTTGCATTGGGGAAAAAAAAACCTTGAGAGTCAGAGGTTGTTCAGTTTTCTCCGTAGACGTTTTTCTTTTCCTGAGGAAAACAGATTATTTTCTTCTTTTAGTAGAAATAACTTGAATTGGGAAAATCAAGCCAAAGTTATTTAAACGTCTATTTGTTACTGATCATTTACTGGTCCAACCTTGGTAAAGAGATGTTAAAAGCCTTACAATTGTTTTACTGAATCAATCTCCTAATTAAGTGAAATTCCTTAAGCAACAAACTTAACTCAGCCAATAATCGCAGCGCCAGAAAACAAAATCCTGCAGTACAGGAAGGCGTTTTGGGAGCTGAACTGTGACCAAACATGAATTTATTTGCGTGAATAAAAAAAAAACACATTCAGTAGATCGCCAATAAAATCTACAAAGAGTTCATGAACTCGATGCTAAAGTTTCCCCTATGATATAAATGCAAGGTCAAAATGGCTTTTATTTCCATGTGTCCATATCTACAATCAGATCTCATTCAGGATCTGGATGAAGTCATGTTTCTAATCCATACAGAGAGGATAGAAAGGCAAACATTGGCCCCCAGAGAGCCATCACATCTTGTGAACAGCTTAGTTTAAAGCTCTTATACACATCTTTACCAAGGTTTCTTTGAGCAAAACCAGAAATCCTGCAGAACTCATTATAAAGATCCTGTTTCTTACCTTTCGTTTTCAGGAGCTCGGTATCTGAAAACGGCCGATGGAGTCCAGAGGAGCCACTTTCCTCCTACGGATGCCCAGAACATTAAGTTAAATTCATCTCCACTAGTGGTCAACTGTAGTTAGTTTAAATGCATCATGTCATTGATATGAATCAAACCGTACATTAATCGTAAAAGATTTAAACATTTTTACACAAACACAATTTAAAAGAAAATGTTGCTGTAATGGTGTTTATAGAACATGTTTATCTTGCACTGTTTAGTGGCATTTCATGCATCCTTACCTCTTTTCGTTGGCTTTACGGTTAGGCAGGTTCTGGTTCTGAGTGGAAACAGGCAGCACAGTGGCCTCTGAGTTATCCTCCACACCCCTCCGTGTGTCGCCTGCATCACCCACAGACAGGTCTCCTGTGTCAGAGGGCTCTGAGAGGTGGGAAAAGACATCGTGGTCTGGCCAGATGACCTCCTGGGATCAGAGACCAAGATTGCATAAAGTTAACTAAATCCTTACAGCTGGTCAAGAGTGAATGTTAAACCATATGACTGAGGGGGAAACCTTACCCTTTTGTTCTGTTTCTGTATAACAGCTGCAGATATCTGCTCTAAGAGGATGTATAGAGCAAGCAGTGGAAGCGTACATCTGGAGCAGAGCATCTGGGTGGAGAAATATAAAGCAATGCAAAGTTAAAGGGTTTATTATAATAAGCCAAATGATTCTGTTACCTGATGCTCACCTTGAATATTCTCACTGGGTTTGTCTTCTCAAAGATCTGGGCTGCAGCTCTGCAAACTGTGCTGCTGTTGATCCGTGTGGAGGCTATTTGTAGGCATGCAGCCAGGGTGGGTTTATATTATGGGACTATAATGGGGCTGTTTAGGATCATTGTTTGTGTGTGTGTGTTCAGACATGCCAATTATATCTGCCGCCTTGCTGGCCAGTATTTTCATGATTTTTTTTGTAAAGCTTCTGTAGTCAGTTTTTAGGCGATGACAAAATGCCTCAACACACGTACATACATGCACATTACACACCCTCAGTGAAGACAGATGGCGGCGTGATAAGGCCAGATCGTTGAGGATGTTGTTACTTGCTCTGTAGTGTGTTCGTCTTGGGCCACCGTGTAGACACCAGACCAGTTTCAACTGGTTTTACCCTCCGATAGACTACTGGTCTCTCACTAATTCCACTAATGGTCTAGGCTGCAGGTTTATATAGTCTCTTAAGCTACTCGGGGAATGAATTAAAAAGTGCAGCATGCAGTGATGTGGACAGGTCTCAGTGTGTATTTATATTTTGATTTTAGGGAACCAGATGCTCTTGGAACCATGTAAGGTCAATAATTTTCCCAGGTTTTCTCAAGGATCCCAGTTCCTCATTACAGCTGGGTATAGTTTAGTTGCATTGTGCAGAAATCAAACTGGTTCATCACTTATGTTTTAGGTCTTAATCAGGGATGCAACTTCATTTTTTATTCTTCTGATCCAACTTTTTTTTTATGGACTGTCATCTTTTCAAGCAATGCATGATATGCATGGCTGTACTCATGTATATTCCTTAACCAAATTGTGTTAACAATGCAACGAGGCAAAAAAATTATCTAAAAAATCAAAACAAACAATAATCAGTTGATAGACTCTAGAAAAATGTGGAGACCGATTTTTTTGCAATAATCTCCAATATATGTTTAGAAATCCTATTCAATAAATAAAGTGTGAAGAACAAAGTAGATCACTGAAACGTTTAGACAGGATTTCACATCATACTGCACATATTACAGTCAGCTTTATTTGATTATGTTAACTTTAACTCAATAAAAAGGGACATTTTACTGCTCTAACTCTCTGATGTTTGTCACTTTCAGTATTTTTCTGATCTGAAATAAATATCTGTAAATATGCCACCCTATTGTAATTAAATCTGGACTTTTTATTTTGAGTATGACAGGATGAATGTTTTGAGTAACAAAAATGAGCTATATTAACTATATAGGAAAACAGGGGAATGACTAAGCTGGATATAAAGGGAGCCTTCACGCATATATCAGAGCTTCTTTAGATTTTTATGATGTTTTTCAACATTATTTACCAAAGCTGAGATCCTCGTCACCTTTAATCTATTTCACAGGAAGGAATTGATGTCTTCGCTCAGCCTGCCTCATGTTAAATGAAAAAAACATAATTCTAATATATGGATGAATCCTATCGGAGGTGGTTTTTACTGAACGTTTAGAGAGACCAGTTGACCACAAAGTAATTCATCTATCATTTTAGGACATTCAAACGTTTTTGGAAACTCAGTTTTTCATCAGGCCAGATTTATTCATGGGGGAAGAAATATTTATAGATTAAGAGATAATTACAATAACACTAAACCACTTAAGGCACAATTTTTGGTGCACCATACTGAGCTTAGCTTTGGTATTTGCGGCACTGCACCAACCCTTTGCTAATGGAACAATGTCAACCTTTCTGAGAAGGCTTTCTACAATGTTTATTAGTGTTATTATTATTATTATTTTTTTTTTTTAAACTATTTTCAAAAAAGTATTTTTTAAGGTTTTTTCTTTTTTTTTCAAAAACATTCAGTTGTACAAGTTGTGTCTTTGAGATCCAACATCTCCTTTACAGGAGATAAACGCCACAAAAACGTTACAAGCAGTAAAGTTTCAAATTTCCATGTGTTTGGTTTACATAATTTTCAATAGATATCAACATCCAAAAAATCTACATTTCCTCTTTCTACAAAAGCTTTTTTTTCTTCTTAATTTTAAAACATAAAAATACAAATAAAATGTTGGTTCTAGAAAACTGCAACATGTTTCTTATAGCAGATACTTGTATTTTATCTGAAAGTCATGTAATATTTGGGTTCTAATCAACTATTATTTAACTGGTCTCAGGACCACTGTTCATACATTTGTTTTTTTTAATATATATATATCTTTGGAGAGCCTTGCAAAATCCTTTTGAAAATCCTAATGGGATTCAACTAAAGGTTTATGTGAAAGATTAAAACCCCCCCAAAAATACCCAAATTATGACAGATCCTCTACCATACCTTACAATAGGAATAGTCCCACTGTCAGCTCATAGTTTCAGTTAAGTCAGAGTAAAGTTAAACAAGCTTTGTATGCTTATGGGAGAAAATCTGATTGGATTATAAAAACCATCTAACAGCTGATGGCCATTAAAAGAATCAGGCTACATGTACAGTATAGGTAAAACAAAGTCATGGAAAAATAATCACAGGGTTCAGGAAACTCAACAATTAAAAAAATAAATATAAATTAAAAAAGTGCCTCAGATGCCAGAAATTTGTGATTATTTAAAATAGCTAAATTTTGTTAATGAGGAACATTTTTGTTGCTCACTTATTACATGTATTAAAACTATTGTTGGATATGCTGAAAAATAAAGTTACATTTTGTCATCTTAGGTGTCACGTTTGTCACTTATGTCATAAATATTGATGTTATCAGAGAAGTGAGTGAAATATGCAGGCTATCAAACCTCTATCAAAGATGCAAACTGACAACACAGCAGGTGGAGCACCCAGTGTCTGAAATGGTTTGATCTGGTGAACTGAATTATGGAAGCTGGTTGGATGGAGCGGTGGCAGGTGTGCAGATTTGGTCACAAAAAAATCTATCTGTCTGAATAAAGATGCCAAGAAACTCTATTTTTTTTTTTCTGAGCCAGTTCTATGTTAGAATAACTCAAACAAAAGCTCCTGAGAGATCAAAGATGATACCAGAATGTCAGTGTGTGTGTTAATCTGTTGGTCTCTGCTCCGCCTGACTGCAGAAAGCCACCCAATGGAGACCACACACACACACACAACACACACACAACACTCCTCTTCCTCTTATTTAGTCGCCGCCGGCCTGCAGCCTGTGTCTCCAGAAAACAAAACAGATGGGAGACAGAGCAACCGGCATGGATGGAGAGATTGGAGGAGAACGGGGCAGGCCGGGGGTCCGCTCCGATGGTATGCTCTCTGAGACACGTTTTCACTTTTCCTCTTTTCCCACCCTGTCCTAATTATTGCTATTTCAGGACACAGAGGCCCTCCAAACATACAGCGAGCGCTGATGGATCAGGGGAATATAAATAAACCGTGACAG